AATAATCATATATTTAATATTAAAATAGTAGTTATGGAGTTATTGTAGATAGTTTGTTAACAGAGGAAGTTGTGTTTAGCGCTAAGATGGTGAAATCAGAACAAGGGTTACTCAGGCGCCAATTTTGCTAACGCAGTTTGCTCTGCGACCCTGTAGTACACCAAAGTTTACTCAAATAGACTCAGTGAAGTTAAAAATACCCCCAGGCTGTCATCGCTAATGAAGTAGCTACTAAATTATAATAAATAAAACTACACTACCTCACACCTTGTACCCTACAATACTCTAAAATAAAACGGTTGAGAGTCGGTAATAAAAGAAAAGAAATACAGGAATTATTAACAAAATATATTTTAAAATGAAAACACTACATAAAAAACTATAATTGGTACCACCACTCATGATACTATAATTGGTACCACCGGCACTCCCTGTATAATAGAAAATGAATTTAAATAATTTGTTTAAACACAAGGCATTACAAGTGTTACGTGCCTCTCAAAAACTTGACATATTTTCTTAACATTTTCGTTATGCTCACTTGACATGATATATTGGGGGCCATTTTTTTTCACCCACAACGTTTTAAAGTAGTGCATGAGAAGGCATGCGCGTGACTTATTTTATTATGGCGGGTTTTTGGTTTATTTTGAAGTTGTTGTTATGTATTTCATAAAATTCACTTTCTTCGCCATTTTAGCTGGCCCATTTTTTTGGCCAACGTTTTAAAAACTCTCTTTGTATATATAATAATAAATGAGCACGTAATTTACAAAATACACTATGTAAAATTAAACAATAACTCTGTTTCACCAATAAATAGACACCGTTTTTTATATGACAGGAAAATTGAAGTGATTATTGAAATACCACAGTACTTCGGGGGCCAGGGCTATATTCATTTTTTGGAAAAACTACTGTCAACTAAATCAAAAAATAAATCTGGACTTTTGTAAAACTTCGGTGATGTCAGATATTAAAACACGTTTTATAACTGAGGTGTCAAAATGATTGTAAAATATTCAATAATGCTTCATCAAGATTAAATTAAACACATAATTTCGACGATTTTAAATACAAACACACTCGGATGTGTTTGTTCATATTTTAGAAATTTGTTTAGCGTAGACTATTTAATTAACACAAATAAACAATCCACAGATACACATCTGAGATTTTCTGTTTGTTCCTAACTCTAGATGCCCACCGGCTAAATCAAATTAATTACAGATACAATTAGTGTTTGTTGGTCCACGTCAAAACCAAACTCGGTTACCGCTATCTCGTAATTATACTTTAAACAAGTGTATCAACTAGTTAACATGTCATCTCGCTCGCTAATTAAGAAGGTCGATTACGGAAACTGGATGACAGACAAAATAATCAGTCTAATAGATTTGATTTTTAATCGATACATATCGAATGTCTGAACTCCAGTCAACAATTACCTTAATTACAACAAATAAATTATTTACATTTTTTTTTCTATATTTGTTGTTTTTTTTTGATATAATTCAATCCTTGTTGTGCTATTAGCCAAAGGAGTAGTTGTTTTCCGGAGGTTTTGTAACACATAGCTTTAAGATTTTTCTTTATTTTTAAATTGTATGTTGTTCAATTATATTTGGAGTTGGTAACAGCACTAGATTAACATCTAACACTTACTGTTTTGTGACAGAATTTTATATTATTTCATGAACTAAAAATATTCGTTTAATTTTTATTGACGAAATTGAATAGGATTTTTAAAACGTTCCTATATTCATTTTTACATTAAATTCGTCCTAAGCTGGACATGAGAACAGATGGAACTCATTGATCCCATTGAATACTTTTAATTTAATACATCAAGAATATTCTTTTTAAGGATTCATTCCTATAGCATTCTAAAACTAAAAGTTGAACTTGGTATACTAATAATTACAAACTGAAACTAACATAAACAGTGTTGAAATGGGACATCTAGGTATATCTAGGAATATCTAAAGACATTGTATACAATAGGTATATAAATTACACTTATGTTTAAAGCCAAAAAGTATGCAATGCAGTGATACATGGATGGTTCCATAACCATAGAATAAATTCAATAGGAGGCAGAGCTGGGACGAATCCTCAAAAAATGGATTCGAATCACGAATCCGAATCACGAGAGGTGATTCGAATAACGGATCCAATGTTCGAATCCTTTTTAAAAAAAAAAGGATTCGAATCAAGTGATTCGAATCCTTTTTTTCGGATCACGGATACGAATCACTGTCAGTGTTATACTGTGGTATTAATTATATTTGCTTTCGAATCTAATACTGTTTTATACCTCGGTCCTAAAATATTTAACGCATTTCCGATGGAATTTAAAAACCTAAATTCGATAGGTCTTTATAGATCTAAATTGCAACAATGGATATTAACTAAACAAGAACAAATATTTTAAGATTTTATTAATTTAAATATAACTAAAATCTAAAATCATTTAGTTAAAAAGAACTTTACTTATTTGCAATTATCCAATTATTTATGTATATGATAATTATTTATAAAATATTCAATGCTGTAGGTAATTTGTATCTACAGGGTGATTCATAACTATTGGGACATAGGCTAAGGGCAGGTTATTTGTACAAAAATATGATGACAGGGCCAAATATACCTTAATAAAATATTGCTGTGGAATAAGATACAGTGCGTTAAAATTGATTTTTTTTTCGTTTTTTTTTTATAATGTCACTGTATATTAATGAATTGTTATCAAAATCGGCACAGAGGCATATCTTTGGACAGGGGATAATATTTTATGTATAATTTCTCATTTTGTTACGGGGAGCGCCACTTGAATGATTACTAATGATGAAATTAAGTGGTACCTTTTTTTGACAAATTTTTTTAGTATTTTTGATTAGAAAATATGATGTAAACGTCATTTCTACGTAATATTGGTACTCTTATTTAAACACGATAATTTTACCCGTTTTCGAGAAAAATGCAATTGAGTATCAAATGGGGAGTTAAAAAAATATTTCACATATGAAAAGTGTGCTTTGGAGTGTCAGATAATTGTGTTTTGTACATGTCATTTCTTGACAGTGAATTATTTTTGCTGTTTGATTATAGTCTATTATTATTACTATTATTATTATTTATCACCCTGTATCTTATTCCACAACAATATTTTATTGAGGTATATTTGGCCCTATCGCCATATTTTGCTCCAAATAATCTGACCTTAGATTATGTCCCAATAGTTATGAATTACCCTGTATAATAAATAAAAAAACAAGTATTATAAATTAAAAAGAAAATGTTTTTAATTGTTTTAATGTCAATAAGTTTAAAATTACTAACAGTTTCATAACCAGAGAATTTATTTTTTTCAATATCGTCAAAAGTAACTGTTACGTAGCCAACAGCTGTGTCGTAACTGACTGGCATGGTCTTTGTTAAGGTGGAACTGTCTATCGTAACAAATTTAACTATTACCTACGTAGCTAGTAATAAACTTTATAATGTCGTTTGTTACATTTGAATCAAACTCATAATAGCGGTGATATTAATTAATGCCTTTTTGGTAATGCTACTGCACATATTTTTAATGGTAATCTGCGAGGCTCTTTCATAGTGCCGTTTCTCCTGTTTGATTGAGACAAATAATAGCAGAGATAGACGTTAATCCCTTTTGGTTTTGTCACTGCGCATGTTTTTTTCCTTAACGTTAATCTACGTCATTTCTTCTTCATAATGCCGTTTTTCCTGTTTGATTCTGACCGATAATAGCAAAAATATTACCTAATGCGCTTTTGGCTTTATCGTTTACCTATACTCGTTTACGTCTTCTTATTCATGTTTCAATTCTCAACACTGACAGGTGGCGCCATTTTGCGGTGATTTTTGAAAGTAATGTAGAGAGGTTATCAGTTCTTCTAATTTAAATTTGTCTCTCTTCATACAGTATTTTAGATCTATATTAGTTTTAGTTTTTACGCAATTAGTGACTTGGAAAAAACAAAAAACACTTAATTTCTCAGCAGTAGATAGTGCCAGTCTATTATTAAAATTTTCAATATTAGAAAGAAAACAAAATGCAATAAATAACATGAGAAGCAAATAAGAATAATTGCGAAGAAGCATCTTAAATTTCATTATAACTTAAATAATGTCTTCATCATCGTCGCTGTGAATGTATTCAAACAAATCCATTTTTGAATAATAATGAAAATATTAAACTCTAAAATTTGAGAACAATAATCGTTAAACTAATGTTCATTACATAGCCTGCGGTTATTTGTATGAAACTACCACTTCCCATGTGTCAGTTACGGTTACAATCAGAATAGCTGGCGGCTATCATATAACTGGAAGTGGATAAATGTTTTGACAGGCAATGACTGACGGCTATCTCCGTAGCTGCCAGTCGAAGATTGAAAAACCGGCCTTTAGACTGACAGCCCAGCTAAAAAAGACTAAAAAGATTGAATAAAAATATACTATTTAAATTTTTTTGGAAATGGTTGTTCTGGATTTATTGTGTTGTGGATTAATGGGTTTGTTTCGAGTTTTTATGTAGAATCACTACTTTATTGAAATATCAATTTTAACCAGTAAATAAGTTTCTTAGAAATAATCTAATCTATCTAAATTTTCCGAAAAATCCATTGTAGTTCATTAGTATAATAATAAAGAAAAAATATCAGCAAATAATTTCAAATGATTTGAAAGGCTCCGAAAGGTCATTTCAGCTAAATATTTGTAAATACTTCGGACCATGATGTAATGTGAGGACTGGAAATGTCAACTAATTCGAAAATGAAGGAAAGAGTATTTGATCATGAGAGTCCGATCCAATTCCAATTTAATATATTTATTTAGATTAATACATTTTACATTTACGACGTCAATTAGCTGTCATACTTTACACATAGTTTATAGCAGTGTTATTTAATCTTACTCGGGGGGTCGCCGGCTGAAAGAAAAAGTCAAGGTTCTAACACAACAAAAACACAATTTTAGCGAGATGGATGTGCTTGTTTATTTTTCAAAAGTTTATCAAATTGTGGTGCTATTTTTGAAACGTTAATAATTAAATCATTTTCTATGTGCAGTCTTATTTCTCTTTTTAGTTTTAATGTCTACAATTGAAAAAAATGTCAGTTCACACAAGTATGAATTGACGAATGGCACTAATAATTTAGGAGCTTCCCTTGTCAGCTCTGGATATTCGTGTTTTGTTTTCATCCAAAATACGTCGACACTTTGCAAATAAAATTCCATTTTAAGCATGCCATCAACAGCTAAATCTAGAAGAAATTATTTCATTTTTGTGGTGACATCAGCCAGATCTATTGATTTGTCCAAAAAAGGGTTTAAAATCCATATACGCCCATTGTTAGCTTCAGAGTGCACGTCTGAAAAGTATGTCAAAAGTTTCTCTTATAAATTATGCAAGCTCTGTATCATGCAAGGAATGTGAGCCAATACTGCAAAACTTTGGTATGTTGCATTATCTTCAACAAACCTCTGAACACATGGAAAAGACTAAAACATTTTGTTTTGCAGAGAGGTTGACCACAAACGAGGTCACTTTTACTTTTTCTTTAGCTGTCAAAATATTGTCTTCTCTTCCTTGAAGGTTCTTATTCAAACTGTTAAGGTGGCTAAAAAGATCTGCCAAAAATGCTAATTTCAAGATCCAAATAGGGTCAGAAAAACGATAAGCATATTCAGATTTTGCATCTTGTAAGAACGTTAACAATTCAGCTCTCAGTTTCAGAACATTTGTCAATACCTTTCCTATGGATAGCCACCTCACCTCTGTGTGATAAATGAGATTTTGATGAAGCGGGCCCATATCTTTACAAATGATTCTGAATAGCCGGGTTTGCAGAGCTTTACCTTTGATAGAATTCACAATTTTTATTACCTCCTTGAGCACGTCATTTAAATCAGGAGGTACTACCTTAGCAGCTAGAGCCTCTTGATGAAGAAAACAGTGTGTCCAGGATATGTTTGGCATTATCAATTTTAATTTTACAATTAGTCCGCTATTTTTGCCAGTCATAGCTTTAGCGCCATCGCTACAAATAGCGATACATTTTTTCCAATCAATATCGTAGTCGCAAGTGCTTTCTAAAAACATATCGTACAAACACTGGCAGTAGTGTTTACAGGAAGTGCTTTGCAAAATAATATTTCTTCCGTAATACTGTCATCTGCTTCAAAGCGCATAAATACTACAAACTGTGCACAGTCGGAAACATCTGTAGATTCGTCAAACTGCAAAGCAAAATGTTGGCTGTTCATTAATTGTTCTTGAATATCCTTGGCCATATCGTTTATTCTGCGTGAAATAGTATTATCAGAAAGTGGTATGTTTTTTAATTTGTTTGCCTCCTGCTTACTGACCATAATTTCAACCATATCAAGTTCTGCTGGCAAAATAAGATTGTCGGCAATTGTAATGTTGACTCGTTGACACTGGATGCCTGAAAATAAACCAAACAATATACAAGAGAATAGTCAATAAAAATTAAGGACGCGGAACCTTTGCACACCGAAATTAAGTATAATCAAAAGTTGTATGCAAACAGCAAAGAAATAAACATCATAAAACATCAACAGTAAAAATAGCAACAATTACAATATACTCACCTTAAGCTTATCGCTTAAGTGCATAGAGGGTCTTAACAACACTTCGTGGAGACTAGGAAAACATTATTTTATTACTTACCTGGAGTCTGACTAAGAGCTTTTAACTTTCGTTTAAAGAAATCCAACGGCTTATCAGCTTCTTTTTGATGCTTGGTTGTGAGATGCCGCATAAGCATTGACGGCTTTATACTTTCACGTGATAAAACCGCCGCAAATTACACATTGAGGTTTATTATTTATGACTGTGAAACCGTATTTCAAATAACTGTCATCGTAATGTCTATTTTTTTGGGTTTGATTCACCACCACCGCTATTGACACTCGTACCCTTTGTATCTCGTACCAGATGTTGAAGGGTGCGATCTTTTGAGAAATTTATTCATTTTACAAACGCGGAGCAAGCGAAAAAACAAAAGAACGTCCGTACTTATCGGTGACTGCGCTTAACTCAGTTAGATGGAAGTTGAAAGAAAAGAACATTGCGGGTGGCGCGCGCGGGGCGCTTACTATCGCCGCAACGACAATGCAGTGCAGTGATGCCAACCTAGGGAATTTTTCCCTAGTTCTAGGGATTTTTTTGTGCAATAGGGAAAAAGGGAATTTTACCTAATATCTAGGGAATTTTCAAATTCTTCGAACTAATGGCACTTTTTTTAGTTTAATTAATATAATTTTACCAAATTTTAATATTATAACGCCTTGATGAGAAAACCTATTAACCTTGCACCCTGGGTTAAGATTTAATATTGGTATCTACAAGTGTAGTCCAGGCCTAATATAATTCTCGTTCAGGGAATTACCGAACAGCGGGCTCGACGCAGTGCGTGGGATTTTGTAACTTTAGACTTTAGTCGTTAGTTAGATTTCGTTTACGATACTTGTGTATGTATGCGTTTGTTAGTTAGTTACTATAGAAAGGTTACTATAGAAAGTTCATTTGAATTTATATTTTAAAAGACACTTTGTGGTGAAATTATAATTTGGTGGGAAAAGACATTAAAAAACATGAATCCAGATTCTGATAATGAGTAAGTTACAATATTTAATTATTTTATTATATAGGTATGCTCTTATCAAAGTGAGAATATTATTTTCATTGATTTGTTTTATTAAGTAATATTTTTTATTAAAGGGCGGGTCCAAGTACTCCTATAAAAAAACTCAAAACGAGGCATGAAGCATCAAAACAAAAAATATATGAACAAAAATTTAAATCCGAATGGTTAGGATTGCCTCATTTTGCAGGATGGCTAGCAGAACATCCAACAGATAAATTTAAGTGTCGTTGTATGGCCTGCAATGTAATATTAAAATGTGGAAAATCCGATTTGGAAAAACATAGGGCAACAAAAAAACACGTGGAAAGGGTGAACATGAAACAAAATATCCCATCAGTGGCAACTTTTTTTTCAAAAAACACAGTTCATTGTAAAAAGGTTGCTACAGCAGAAGTAAAAATGGCCAATTTTTTAGCACACCATAACGTTAGTTTTCAAATCATTGATCATTTGGTTCCAGTTTTAAAAGAATGCTTTCCTGACTCAGATATTTTAAGGGATTGTAATTTGGGCCGCACAAAAACGACAAATGTAATTAAAAATGTAATAGCTGAAGAACAATCTCAAGGTTTAATCGAAATACTCAGGAATCAATACTTTAGCATACTTATAGATGAGAGTACGGATATTTCTGTCAATAAATTGTTATGTGTTCTAGCTAAATATGTAGATAAACATACTGGAAAATGTGTAACCAGATTATTAGAACTAATTACAGTTGATGGTAAAAATTGCGACGCTGATCATTTATACAATGCTTTTAAAATATGTTTAAATAAAAAAAATATTCCTGTCAATAATATCATAGGCTTAGCCTCGGATAACGCAAATGTTATGTTAGGCAAAAATAATAGCTTCATGACCCGATTAAAAGATGAAACTCGCGCATTAATTGTTATTCCTTGCATTTGTCATTCTGCAGCGTTAGTGGCAAATAAGGCATGCCTAAAATTGCCAAGAACTCCAGAAGAGTTCATTAAAAGTGTAGCTAGTTTTTTTTCAATGTCGGCCAAAAGAACTGCAGAACTGAGAGAAATGCAAGAATATTTCAAAATGTCACAGCTTAAAATGCTAAAACTTTCTGGTACAAGATGGTTGAGCATGCAGCATGCTGTGCAAAGAGTAGTAGAAAATTGGCAGGTGCTTTTAAATTATTTTAGACTCTTAAAAACTGAAGAAAACTCTAAAACAGTAGACTTTATTTTTGATGAATTAAATAATACCTGCACAAAAGCTATTTTATTATTTTTAAAGTACATTTTACGATATTTTAACACTTTTAATGCGCTTTTTCAAAGCAAAAAACTTTTAGTGCATGACTTATCTTTTGAATGTCGCAAATTATATAAAGATATTTTGTCTCACTTCATTCAACCTCACCTAGTAACTGATTTTAAAATAAACTTACAACATCCTGGTAATTTTTTACATTTAGAGTCAATCAATTTAGGAACAGAATGTAATGAGTTTGTGTCAGGTTTACCTCCAGACATAAAGAACCACATTTGGAAGTCATGTTTACAATTTTTAATAGCAGCGTCTGTTGAGTTACAAAACCGTTTTCCGCTTGACAATACATTTTTTGATAGTTTACGTTTTTTGAAGCCAGATGTTGCACTCTTAGATAGACCTGAACATTTAAAAACACTCAAACATGTCTATGATAATTTCAATGAAATTGAAGATTTCGACAAAATGGAGGTGGATATAGAATGGAATAGCCTTTTACATTATTTTGATAATGAATTAGAAAAAAAGCGTTTCATGGAAAAAACAATTGAAGACTTTTGGTGGTCGTTGAGGCAAGTACGAAATTTTGAAGATAAATTTGAATTTAAAAATCTCTGCTATTTAGCATCTCTTTGCATGACGTTGCCCCACAGTAATGCTGAGACTGAAAGGATATTTTCAGTCGTTACCGACGTTAAAAATAAAAAGCGAAATAAAATATCCAGTGAGGCATTAAATGCTGTGTGTTCAATACGTCTTTCTAATGAAAGTTGCTGCACACATTTTTCAGTAAATGAAAATCATTTTAATCTAATGAAAAAGGAAAACCTTTACAAAAAAAATGATTAATTTTCAAATTCAATACTTTTTGGGTTCAGAAACTTATTTTTGTTAAATACATTTTGTTATATACTCTTACAATTAGATTAGTTATTTATTTTATATAAGTATTTATGATAGATATAGTTGCTAAAACGTTTTTTCGTAACTTTTTCATATAATAAACATAATTCCTAAAATACTGTATTTTGATTTTAACGTATGTGGGTACATCTAAGTTTAAATATTCAATGTGATTTTGATCTAGGGAATTCTAGGGATTTTTCCACATAAAAATTGGGAATTTTCGACGAATTCAGTTGGCAACACTGATGCAGTGTGGCAACGTCGCCGTCGCCGACGCAGTTTGGCCCGCGTGAATAATAGATAAATGTACCAAAATAGGAAAAAATCATTACCTAACGTATTTAGTCTTTTAATTAAATTATTTCTTTGGCTTTCTATGACACAAGGGAGTCGCCAGAATATTTCAAACTGTAAAGGGGTCGCGAAATCTACAAGATTGAAAAACACTGGTTTATAGGAAACTTTGCCGTTCAGATGTCACAGAAATCCCAAGAAATAATTAGTAAATTTAAAAATGTGTGTCAGGTGTACCAATAAATCCAGGGAATTTTGTCGTCACATGTCTGCTTTTATTTTCTTAATGATCCCATCTCTATGTGTATTGTAGCGAGTGAAATATAAAAATAATTAGGTGCCTGATCTTTATTTTAACAATTCTCTATCTACAATGCATGAAGTGGCGTAGCAACTAAATAAATAGGGTTAACATTTATTAATAATATATATTTATAGAAAGTGGATAATTTCCTGACGGTAATAAAATAAAAGTTCCCTAGTAATATCGATCAGTTTTTATTTAAGAGCACAACATATATTTCGAAAAAACAAACGTTTCCATCTTCTGGTGCAGTCACATAAAATTTAAAAAAAAATCGAAGAACATATTTTAAAATTTTTAAAGACGAAACTACATCGTGTAGGTGTCATCGAAATATTTCGATTATGCACCTAAACCCTAACCAGAAACTTTAATTTACATTATATGAGATATACAGAGCGATTTCCCCTCAAGTTTAATGTGTGCAAATGATAGAGTATTATTCGGTAATTCGGTAGAAAACTTATATAACAAGGTAGATCATTGGAGAGAAAAGTTGGAGACACGGAGTCTGAGAATTAGTGGAAAACAGAATACTTTGGATGTCGTTTCAGAAATAATCAGAAGCAGTTTCTGGAAGCGATGGAATTGAATGGAAAAGCGGTGATAAGTTTGCGGTAAACTTGTTATGGTTTTACTTAGACTTGAGATTGAATTAATTCTGCTAAATTCTAACTCAAAATTTACAAATATGTTCTTTTTATTATATAATGTAACCAATACAGCTCTACAAAAGTAGCTTTGCAACAGTTTTTCAGGAAATCGGAAGCATACATTTTGTAACTTAATATAATTATGTCGGGCATGGAACTGTACGAGGTATCAATATGACAATACCTCTTGAACAAAATAAATATAAAAAATTACTTGAAATAGATCGATTTTTATAGGTACCAAGGGAGACATCTTTCTTTATAATCATGTCGTATATCTTTACCCTTCCTCCGGCACTCTAACTCATACAATTTAAAGAGAAAAGTACCAAGTATCAGCCATTATTAAAAAGGTAATTTTATACATATTTTAGTAATATGACTATTAATTGCTTTGGTTCTTATTTTATTGTCCTCTAGCTAGATAAAAACTGTTACGTATTGTAAATTGTGACTTTATCTTTAATGCAACCAATCTTATGCTATTTCAGTTCATAATTCAGTCAATTATGTTTTATTATATTGTGTATTAAATTGCTAATAAAATTTGCTTTCAAATGAAATGCCCCACTTTACAATACATAAGAATTTTTTTATCCCTCCACAGGGCGCTAAAATTAAGATTAACTCAATTAATATGTATATTCCTGAATTCTCCATAATGATGTGCCATACTTAATACTTTCTCTATTTAAATTGTATTGATTAGAGGTTGGAGTGATGAA